TATTCAAAAGTAATGATTAAACCAATCTCCTTTCTAGCAAAGGATGAAACTGATTACTGAAGAAAGTATGAAAATTTGGAGGCAGAACATTCAAATTTTAACAGGGCAACACATTTATTGTCTGAAAGGAATGAAGTCCCTGCTCTGGATATGTATACACGCAGCTGTAAACAATAAACTATAATCATGTATTAAAAGATATAGCTCTCTGATTCATGAGCAGCTAACTTACTTCTCATAAAATTTCTCTAAAATATACTAAATGGTCACAGAATAAAAAAAATGAAGTCAAGTCTGTAGTGCAGCCTTGTGACAACAATCACCAGTGTTTCTGAAGCCATCCTTCCTTAAATTTCTCACATCTCCAGGTTTCTATGTAACCAGATAATGTAGCTGGTTCTTTCCTTTATCCACTTTCCTGGATTCTTTACTGAATTCTCTACTAGCTTTTGGCTATTGCCTATAAATGTACTCAAAGATAAAGCATTTGCTATCTACTTTTCTTTTAAAATACTTCTTTGAAGATATATGACTTCAACTTTCACCTTCAAACAAAATAATTTCAAGAATTCTGGCTTGGATCTTTAATTCTAGTTTAGATCATAAGATATTCTGCCTCTGACTCAAATCAACTTAAGGGTTCTAAAAGCAGTATCTACATATGTACATGCTCTTGCCCCCATATGCATAAATGCACATTACTTGGTTTTTTTTTAAATCACCGGGACTTTTTTCCTTAACTACAAACTCCTTACCCTCTTCAATTGCTTAAGTAAGAGAGTGCATTGTTGTCTTACCTACTCATCATTTTGCTTTTCTTATTTACAAATCCTATCTAGACTTCTTTAACAATGCCTTCTCCACCTGTATCTTTTATCCTCTACAATGACCAATATAATTTGGGCACTGATCACAATACTTGTAGCAGCCTGCCTGCTTAAGTCTCCTTCCTCCCTCCTAAGCATTCTGAACATTACTGGTAGATGAATCTTCCTAAAACACTATTTTAAAGCCATCACTACCCCCCCCCAATTTTTAAATGGTGAATAATGCCAAATATTTTAGCAATTAAAGAATCTAAAAATTTGGCTTTAGTGTGCCATCCCCATTCAACTGATCTTTTCCAATATTCAAGCCTCTTTATTCTTTAAAAAAGAGGGGGGGGGGAGTGAGGGGAGGAATAGCTCAATAGTTGAGTACTTGCTTACTACCCAGTACATTCTGGGTTCACTCCCCAGAATCACAAAATAAATAAATAAAATTCCTTTCCTTATACTTCTCTCAAGTTAATCCTACCACTATGGTTCCAGAGAGAATCACAAGCAATCTGGCTTTACTCCAATCATGCTGAAATTATTTTTGTTCTTTTCCAACTACAAAGCAAATATTTAAGCTCCTCATTTTGCTTGACCTCAGCATGCCATTCACGATTTGGTCTTACCATTCATCGTTTCCCTCCTAGCCATCACTAGAACTCAAGCACAGCAAACTACTAGACTTCCTCTAACACACCTTGCTCTTTCAGAGTTTGTGCTTTTACAAAATGCTATAACCTGTTTCCACAATGCCTTCCTGACTGGCTCTACTGTTTATAGCCCAGATGAAACATGTGTGGAATTTCCCCCCACCTTTACAAACTTCTTTGTTCCCAGTGCACTTGTATATAGTTCCCTAAAAGAATTCATAACATTGCATAGTAATTACTTTACATGTCTTGATATGCTCAGAAACTAATACACTTTAAGGCACCTAGTGGACAATTAGGAGTAAAGTTTGAGCTGGTGGCTCACATATGCAATCCTAGCTACTTGGGAAGCAGAGATCAGGAGGATCACAGTATAAAGCCAGCCTGAGTAAATGGCTCACAAGACCCTATATTGAAAACACCCAACACAAAAAAGGACTGGGGAGTGGCTTAAGTGATAAAGTTCCTGCCTAGCAGGCATGAAGACCTGAGTTCAAACTCCAGTACCATCAAACAAACAAACAAAACAAAAACACCAACATAAACAAGAGTGGCTTAGGGAATCATGGTTCAAGGTCAACCTAGGCAAATAGTTTGTAAGACCCCCATCTCCAAAATAACCAGGGCAAAATGGACTGGAGGTATGGCTCAAGTGGTAAAGTGCTTGTTTTGCAAATGTGAAGTCCTGAGTTCAAACTTCAGTCTCCCCATATACACACACAAAGAGTGGGTTTTATTTTATTTATTTGTGGGGCTGGCAACTGAACCCAGGGACTGGCAGCATGCTAGGCAAACAATCTACCACTGGCTGCATCCCCAGCCCAAGAGTGGGTTTGACAAGACCTAATGGCAAAACCTTATTATTCTACTCATTGTCACTTAAGTAAACTGTATGACAAAGCAGTATTATTATGGTTAAGAGCTCAGACTCTGAAGTCAGGCTTAGCACAAATTTGGGATCTAATATTTATTAGCTGGGCAAGTTATCTTGGGTTTCCCTTTGTGTAAAAGAGGGTAATAGCCTAGCTACTTGGGGAGGCTGAGACTGAGGGAATCATACATAGTTCCAGGCCAGCCTGGGCAAATAGTTCACCTTGATATCAAACCACAGTCCCAGTTTAAAAAAAAAAAAGAGTATAATAGGACCTACATCATAAGGTTATGGATTAAATGCTTTATAAGCAAAACACTCAAAATTGACAGGCAAAAAAAAAAAAAAGCCCATTAAATATGTATTGGCTAATATAATTAATATACCTTGATTATTCCTCTTTCCACATGCTAGTCCTTTTATGTTCAATAGACCTCATTTTGCCCTCCTATATTATGAATGGGGTCTCTCCATTTTCCCCTTTATCCAAAGCTTACCCAAGTTTCAAGTTTATTTCTGGTAATTCCTTTCATCATTTCAATCCTCAAATGATCACTAACTTAAATATTGTTAGCATTTTCTGTATCAATCTATTTAATTAAAACTGCTTTGTATCTAGTAATTTTTTACACATAAGTTTCTCAACTCAATTTTTGTAAACACGTTGAAGGTCTTAATGATATCTCAGGCATCTCTGTGAGGTCCTAGAGTAGGAAGTGCTTAGTGTTTTGTTGCATAATCTAAATAGAAACTTCAACACTGATCACACTGCCTTTGCAGGGAAAGATAAGGGAAAGCTGTGAGAACACTCCATGCTCCTACAGGAGTCAAGCTGCAAATATTAGGGCCAAGGAATTCTGACACCCATTAAAATGGGACAGGTGCTGGTGGCTCACGTCTGTAATCCTGGCTACTCCAGAGGCAGAAATCAGGAGGATTGCAGTTCCAAGCCAGCCTCGGGCAAATAGTTCGGGAGACTATCTCGACACAATCCAACACAAAACAACAGGGCTGGTGGAGTGGCTCAAGTGGCAGAGTGTCTGCTTAACCAAAAAAAAAAAAAAAAAAAAGAGAGAGAGAGAAGGTTTAGGGGAAAACCCCCTTTCTGCCACTGCACAGGAGCTGTGGGCAGTGTTTTAACTTTCCCAACCAAACTGCAGCACTGGATAGCTCTATAAGATACATATCCAATGTGGAGTACAGGATTTGAAGTCACCAGATCTAGGGTACAGGGAACCCTCAGTCTGTTTCCTTCTTTACAAAGTGGGTATCTTAATATTTACTTCATAGGTACATAATAATCAACATGCACCCTAGTATTTAACTGAAATGGCAAATTCCTTTAGGAAAAAAATTTAAATAAACCCAAAACACTGCAAGTCATAAATAAAAATGAGACCAACATGCTTAAATACATAATATATTGTACTAAATAATGACAGTGCTATTTATAATACTGCAAATTACCTATGAGAAACTTAGAAAAGTGTAATGTCAATAATACAGACATGAGAAGAGGAAAAAATTTTACTACAAAATTTATCTTTTTCTTTTGACACTTCCTGTTTGCAATCTTTTTCTTTTCTTGTTATTTTAAAAAATGCTCAAAATTATTCCAAAAAGAAAAATTTGGAAAGCACACTTTAATTCCAGATTGGTCCTACTAAATGCAGTTCACAGTTCAAAAATACTTCCAAATACCTATTAACATAAATTTTAAAAATTAAGATAATGGTGAACAGCTCATATGACATTCTGACTCAGTAATTTCAAATTAAGACTTGTTCCAACTTCAAACTGGCAGTCACACACAGTCTAAAGGGTTTGTTTACTTCACTGACTAAACCAAATACCCCAATCTTTTAGCAGATCCGTCCTGGCATTCCAATAATAATTATCTTAAAACAGTATAATTACCGAAGTGTCCAATAGTAAACAAATTAAGCCAAAATTGGGAGCTTCCTTTTGAAGGCTTAAAAAAAATGATGAAAGTGGCAAGTCTTATCTTTTAATCTGTGATATTGTTTTGTTTGGGGTTATGAATAAGAACCCTACTTGGGAAATCTTTAAGCTTGGGGGAGGAGGTGAAATTGTAAACAGACAGACGACTGGTTCTCCTTAGGATCCAGTGATGTGTGGGATTTATTAGGAACGGTACGTAGAAGAGACCAAAAGAAGACACGTTAATAGCACGTATTAGCACTGTGAACTTTCAACAACGCTGAAACGCTGGAAAAGGTGGCTCTGGGGAAGAGATAGCCAGTCAAGTACGAGGCCAATGGCATTTAAGGGTAGATTGCAGGGACCTGGAAAAGTGGGATCGGTAACCCGACACGGACCATCGCGCAGCGAGCCAGGGGCGGGGGCTGCTTAAGGGTGCGTGGCCGCGCGTGCGTGCGTGCGTGCGGGGTCCGCAAGACCCATACCTAGAGTCGAGAAACCAAGGTGACAAACTTGGCAAAGTCGAACTCGGATGTGGGAGCAGGGACAAGAAGGAATGAAGGGATTTCCAGACCGGGACTGCCAAGCTCGGGGCGTGCGCGCGGCCGGGACTGCTCTCTCGGGCAGAGAGGCCTTCAAGTGCCAGGTGGCCGGTCCGCGCCGACGGCACCCACACCCTCCCGCTACGCTGCCCTTCCTTCACCCGTCCCCGGGCCTCCTCACCTCAGGCCGCGGCGCCCGATCCCCCGCGGCGCCACGCGTACGTCCCCCTCGACGACAGGCGGGACCCGTCGGCGAGGCGGGCGCGGCCCTCAGCTCAGTTGCTCCCGGGTGGCCCCCTCACAGCTCCGCGTATGGCCTCGCTGCTCGCCGGACTAGCTGCGCCTTCCCCACGGACACTGCGCGCGGCACTGCTGCGGGCTGGGCGCTGCACTTCTTAGCCCCGCCCCGCGGCGCCCCGCGGGACCCCGCCCCCCGACTGGGGACCCTTGCGCTGATTGGCTTCGGGGAGCCCCAGCACACCCGGTCATTGGCCCAGCGGACGCCGATAACGAGGGGGCGGGACTCCAGGAGACTGCGATTCCCGTAACGCGGTTCCCGGCATCCCGGATTCCGGTGGCTGAGATCGCGTCGCCTCTCCCAGTCGAGATCGAAGGGTTCCCCCCACCTCCCCTCTGCGGGCGGAAGGAGCGGAATGTTCCATTTTTCCGTGGAATAACGGGGTCGTGAACTGAAGCCCGAGTGCTGCCCGCCCCTCCCGCCCGCCTGCCCTTCTCGCCAGAGAGGCCGAATCCTTCGCAGCCTTCCCCAAGGGATCCGGAGCCTCCAGCGACGGCCGGGCTCCCTTGGGGACACGGGAGGCGTGGGATCTCCCAAGGGGACAGTGAAGGGCTCAGTGGCTGTGGCTGCACACCAGATTGCCGCAGGTTGTGGTGGCGGCTTCGGTCCAAGTCTTATGTAAAAGAACCTTGCCGCGGTGCGATTTTTTTTTTTTTAATTAGTAAATGAGTTTGTGATCGGTGAATCCCAGAAACTGGTGATCTGCCAAGAAACTAGTGTTTCTTGCGGTTTGTACCTCCCAATCTGTGATGCAAATACCTAGTAGAAACCAATTTCATTGTAATTCACCCCCACTCCCCCTCCCTCGCCTGGAAAATGAATCTAATGTTGATACCCATGTATTTTTTCCAAAGCAAGATGAGACGCTCAAAATGTAAGGGGTGTGTGACTGTAAGAGAAATACACTCAAGGCCAGGGACTTTTGGAAGAATGGCACGCTGTAGGAGGCCAATAATGATTTCATGAACAAATTATGCCCATAAATTGAGACAATTATAAAGTTATTTGTACTATTGAAGGTTCAGATGGAATAAAACTGATCACATTCTATCCTTTTCTCCCCCCTACTTCCCGCCTCGCCCCCCTAACAGCTGGTGTGTTTTTGTTCTTTGCTTTTCTCTCAGTGCTGGGATGGAACCCAGACCCCATACATGCTAGGCAAACCTTCTACTGAGCTACACCCCCAGCCGTAAATTATGCTCCTTTAGTTGTTGATCACATGATTTTGAAAAGACACAGCAAAGCGGACCTATTGAAGGAGTCTAAGACAAACTTGTGTGCTACAGATAAGTGTTCACCTCTTGTTGCTCCCTGTCATCCAGTATCTGACATGCAGGGTGTGACAGATTGTATCAGGTGTTTACTTTAAAACAAACTTTTAAGAGCTGGTGGAGTGGCTCAATCTTGTACGCCGGTCCTGAGTTCAAACCCCAGTAACACCAAAAAAAAAAAAAAAAAAGACTAAAACAAACTTCTATGAAAATTTTATATAGATCCAGCAAACACATGTTGAGGGGCAATATATAGTGTACCTTCTTTTTTCATATTGCTTAAATTTGGATCCTGGTACTTCTACTTCCCATCTTTGTGACCCTGGGAAAGTTTTCTCAGTTTCTTCATCTGCAAAATGAAAACAATGACACCTACCTAATAGGACCGTTGTAAGGATTAAATGATTTGAAATACAGGACAGGTTTGGCACATAAGAAGAGCCCAATAAATATCAGCTCCTCAATATTGAATATTAGTATTGAATGTCTCCTATGTCAATGTTTCTCAAGCTTTTTTGCTTCATATCGTACATTTAAAATGATATTTCTCAGGGGCTGGAGATAGGCAAAAGGAGATCAATTTCTTACAACACACTAGCCTGCCTTGGCACACTGGTCAGGAAAGCAAAAGTCTAAGTTAATCCTCCACTAGTATCTTCAATTCCCTCACCGTCAGCCAGGTTTAGTTTATCAGCCTATTTGTGAGTGTCTTTGTATTGGCTCAGCTTAGTCCCTGCCCCTAAAAAACTCACATTTTGTGGGTTTGGTTAAATCCTAGGCTAAACTGATAAATCAATATTAGATCAATTTTGACAGAGTTATCAGAACATCAAGACAACAAGAAATATCTGCTGTGCTGAAATTACTTGACTTGCAGTGGGATGACCACTTTCTGGTTAAGAAATTGTCATTAGTAAGTCCTGTCAAAGATTGTGATACGTATGGTTTTTGTTTTGGTTTTTGTAGTTGTGGCATCTTGTTGACTCCAAATATGATCAATGATAATATTTCCCAGTCCTGGGAAGAAAGCAGGAATGGGAAGGAGGGAGGGAAGGAGAGAAGAAGGAGGGAAAGAAGGAAGGAAGAAAGGAAGGAAGGAAGAAAAGAAGAAAGGAAGGAAGGAACTGTCAAAATATGGAGATAAGTAGAGAAAATGGCATAAAGTGAATTTTCTCTATTTTTGTCCTGGAACTATTTTGGAACTTTAGCTATGTTAAGAGCAGAGTGGGAACCTGTTCAGTGACAGTGCAACACAAAGACACTTCTGTGACTTGGGAGCAGGTGAACACAGTTAAGGAAAAATGCTATAGAGAAAAGCTGATAAATGTCAAAGGCAAACTTGGCCTTTCTATTTACCTAAATCTGGCCCTGACCAGGATATCTATTTCTTCCTTGCCTACGATTAGTCCTGAACTAACCACATGTCCAGCATCAATGTAATGATTTCAGCATCTATATTGATGACTCAGCACCCTGACCTCATGACGCCTCATCCTTTCCTTTTCCAGTGATCATCAAGTTCACTCTATAGAAACAACACATAGATGAAGCCACACCTTCAACCTAGTCATTGAATGAAATTACTCCACCTCCAAAATCTGGGTTTGTGTTTCCTTTTCTGTACCGTCACTCCCCCTTTACTTCCCCTTTGTGCTCACTTCCATTGACTATGCAATTTGTCTTTAGCATAACCTCCAGTTGTTGTTCTCATAGTTTATCAGTTGTTTCCAACCTTATCTTTCTAAGCAATGAGGAGCCTTTTATCAGCCATTTTAACTATACTCTTACTAGTACCATCAGTTCCCTTGAACTTCAGCCATGTTTACCTTATCAATCTGTTTCCTAACATTTTCCCCTTTCCTTGAAATATTAGCTCTAACCCAACATTTATTCTTAGTACAGAAACGTTTTCATTGTTCCCTGGAAAAATCGAGACTATCATTTGTGAGCATCCTTGACTTCTCTCCAAGTTAGGATTCAACTACTGTATATATTTATTCTTCTTTTTTTCCTTCTGCTGCAGAGGAGCAAAGCCTCCATTTTTAAAAAGGTTATCTTCCTTCTGTGTTCTTGTTCCTGCTCTGACTAAGTTCAGTCTCCTAGTTTGGTATTTTTCATTATTGGCATTAAATACCTTAGAGATTTTTTTTAAATTAAATATTTACTCAATGGTGAGTTAGAGACAGTTCTTTGTAGTCTCAAAACCTTTATAAGCTAATGGCAACTAACTCACCACACGAAATTAAAAGTAGTTAAATATAAATCTCAGAATGAAGCATGTTAAATACATTGTAATCATTTGATAAAATGATTTTGGAATGAACTGTGAATTTAAATCAAGTTGCAACTAAATTTCCAAACTAGAAAACAGGCAATATTGAGCTGGGGATGGTGACTGGCCCTTAAGGCTAGTGCAGCAGTGTAAAGCAGGAGGATCTTGAGTTTGAAACCAACCTAGGCTCCATAGTTAGGCCTTGTTTCAACCCCCTCCCCTACCACAAAAACCAAAACAGGCAAAATCCATTTTATAGCAACTAAGAAAAATTCTGACTATCACTTCAAACATTTACCTGAAGAGTAACTTGTAATAAGAAAATGAGCTGGGAATGGAAGTACAGCACTCCTATAATCCTGGTACCAGGAGGGCTAAGGCAGGAGGATCTCAAGTTCAGGGGTAGCCTGGGGTATATAGTAAGACCTTGCCTCAGAAACAAGCAAACAAAAACATACAAAAAAGAAAATGAAAATAATGTAAGTACAATTTGAAAAATTCTCACAAACCGGCACACCCACATAACTAGTATGTATGTCAAGGAACAAGAGCGTGACTAGTGATTCAAAATGCCCCTTCTCCTCCCTTCCAGTTCCTAGAAGGCCACAGGTGATCACTATTCTGACTTCCAACACCGTAGCTTCATGGCTATCATTTTAATATTGAAAAGTTAGCAGAAACTTTTTAGTATCATTAGTACTTGTTTATTTCACTCATTTTAATGCACTACTATACTTGACCAAGAGAGTTGGAAACTAAGTACTGCTCTCTGTACAAAGTTAAATGCAGATTCAAGGGGAAGGTCTAGTTCCTCATAGTCTGTCTCTCTGGGAAACCCCATTAAATGTCCAGATCAATGATATAATGTTACTATATTTCACAAAGAGACCTGGCTTCAGAGAAGAAAAGGCCAGTGTAGAAGCACAAGCAGCAGTTAGGTGTGATCTATTCCTAGACATATGTATAGGATAAGGGATTCAGAAAGTAGGGCTGTAGCTTTGGAGTAGCCCAGGCTTGCTTCAGAGTACTATCCTGAGGAGTTTAAGAAGCAAGGGCTTTCCGTTGTTGACTTTCATTTCACCATTCTTCTTGGAAAGAATATTCTAGGTTTCTTGGCTCCAAGTCTCACACTTATGCTAAAACCAAATAGGTGAAAAATATAAACACTAACTTAAAAAGAAGCTATTTCATGGGATTGTGTAGCTAAGAATTCCCAGTCCCTTGTGTAAGATTTGGATAAAGAGACACTACTGATTATATTAATGATTAGGCAAATGTGTGTTGGTCTCCTTAAGGGAAGATGGCAGTGCCTACTGAAAAGGGAAAAATTAAGTGAATATGTTTCCAAGAGGATCAGATCTACTGAAAATCGTCTCTGATTTTTCTTAGGATTTTAGGGTATGGCCACTAAATAATAAATTTAGTGTCACAATCAAATGAAAGTGAAAACAAAGCTCATCTTACTGCTTTGAAAAATCAAACTATCATGCTGTGGGCATAAGGTTA